GATGATGAGGAGAAGAAGGGGGGGGGCTCGATGAGGAGAAGGAGGAGGAGGAGGAGGAGTGCGAGGGAGTGAGGCAGGGAGTGAGGGAGTGAAGGGGGACACGGGAGAGGAGGAGGACGACGAGGATCGGCAGGAGATGAGGAAGATCGGTAAGACTGGCGATAATGAGGGACGATGATGATCATGTGGTCTAGGAGCAGGCCTGCACATGCTCTTGATCCTCGTGATCGGGATGATCACGAGGATCACGAGCATGCCTCAGGAGCAGGGGGTGCCTGGAGGACTAGTGGCAGGTGGAGGAGGGGCGCGCCCAGCCATCAGGCGCTGCTGTACACCGAGGGCCAGCCAGTCATCGCGGGTGCCCTTCTTCCTCCACCTCTCACTCATTCCTTATCGTGATATCCGTCCCCTCGCCCTCGCCCAACTCTGCAGATCTGCCTCTCGGTCGATCCGCGTGCGTTCAATGCTTCCTCGGCTCCTGCTCCTGCACAGGGTTTTCCCTTCCCCTCCCTCCTCATTTTCTCCTCCTCCGCCTCCTTCTCTGCCTCGCCTTCGCATGGCCCTCCTCCTCTTCCTTCTCATTGCATTGCCAGCTCACTCCTGCTAATTCCCCTGGTGCGCCATCCTCCGCGTCGTCACCATCGCCCCATCAAGGTGCGAAGATCCCGAACTTCGAGGATTACCAGCAGGAGTGCACTTCGCGTCCGAACAGAGTGACGATCAAGGTGCACCGGGGGAAAACATGAGAGCACCACAATTGACACGGGGAGGGGGCGGATCCACGAGGGGGGGATTGAGGAGGAGAGTCGAGGATGAGGAAGAACGTGACAACGATCAGGGAAATGAGGATAGCGCACGATCCAGCAGCCGGGGAATGGGACGACACTGACCAGCCCTGCAAGAGAATTGTGGCTCAGGGGGGGGGGGGGGAGATGTGACGAGGAGGCGCGAGGAAGGTGGATCAATGACGAGAGAAAGGACTGTGAGAGAGGACGGGGAGGATGGGGCCACTGGGGGTGAGTCCCAGGTGTGGATCACCATGGCAGAAGCGCTGGACACGATCACGGACACGCTGCGCATCTCCCAGAAGTGCGCGGAGGCCCGAATGAACAGACGATGATGACGATAAGGGCGGGAGCACGAGGAGGAGAGGTGGAGAACAGGGCATGTATTATGTAGAAAAGGTGGGGTAAGGGATGGAGGAGGAACGGGGTGAACGAGGAACCCGCAATGCTTCCCCCTAGAGGCAGCGTGGGCATCGCTGCACTGGCCCCCCCTCCGCAACCACCTGCAGAGCCAGGGCGCGCGCGGCAGGGCGCCGACGAACAGGGTCGCGAAGGCACACCAGTGCCGAGGGGCAACATGAAGGAGGATGAGAGGGAGAGGGAGGGGAAGGAGGAGGAGGAGGAAGGGGAGGAGGAGGAAGAGGAGTAGGAGGAGGAGGAGGAGGAGGGCGGAGGAGGAGGAGGAGGAACAGGAGTAAGAGGAGGTGGTTTAGAGATGACGGCGACGAAGAGCACTGGAGTGGCGCCTTCGAGGAGGGGTAGGACCTTATGGTAGGTATGCAACGCCTCCTGTTCCTCTTCCTCCTGCTCATCCTCCTCTCATTTCGTCCCCCCCTCCTCCTCCTCCTCCTCATCATCATCATCAGTATCATCATCAGCATCATCATCAGCATCATCAACATCATCATCAGCACGATCATCCGCAGCATCATCATCATTAGCATCGTCGTCATCATCCACAGCGGCATCGCCATCATCATCATCGTCAGCATCACCATCACCATCACCACCACCACCATCATCATCATCATCATCATCATCATTGTCATCATCGTCCTCGCTCATCCTCACCGTCCCCTCATCTTCCTCACTCCTCCTCTACCACCACCGCCATCAACAGTGTTCGAACCCAAGGTACTTGCAGGGGCGAGCGATTCGGCGCATCCACGCGCACTACCAGAAGATCACAGGAGTGTGCATCCAGCAGACGAGGGCGGAGCTGGAGGCGCCTCTCCCATCCGCCGTGCCACGCCCCCCGCCCTTCTCTGATCCCCGCTCGTCCCTCATTTCCCCTCTCTCATCCTTCTACTTCTCCTCCTCATCATCCTTCTCCTCCTCGCGCCTATCCCGCACTCCTTTTCATCCGCTTCCTCGTCCTCCTCCTCCTTCTCTTCCTCCTCATCCTTCTCCTCCTCGTCCACCCCCGCCTCCGTCCTCTCTTTCGTCATTCTGACCCATCAGCTCTCAGTTGTTCCTCCTCGGACCCCCCCCTCCTTCCTGACAGGGCCAGCGCAGATGGGCAGATCGCGCCCTACGACAGCGAGGATGAGGAGCAAATTACTGAGGACGGCTTCCGCCAGATGTTGGCACAGGTCTGCCAGGGAAGAAGATGACGAAGCGGACGAAGGAGGACGAATGGCGAAGATGGAGGAGAAGGATCGAGAGAGGGAGGAGGAGGATCGAGGAAGAGGAGGAGGAGGTAACATGGAAGATGAGTCAAACCAACATGTAAGAGGGAAGGCACAGGTGAGACGAGGGGACGAGGGGCAGGTGGGGGAAGAGGAAGAGCAGGGGGGGGGGAGAAGGAGAAGAATCGAGAATAAGGAGAGATGAGGGGAAACATGCTGAGGAGACGGGGGGTGATAATGAAGTAAGGAGGACGATCAGGAAGAGGATGACTTGAGAGAGGCGCACAAGGGCGACGAGCTCGACCACGATAGTCAAGAGATCGAGGAGCAGGCTGCGCCGCGCGGCAAGATCGAGAGCCCCGCGCCGAAGCGCAACATCCCATTCATCAAGTCCCTGCTCGCGAGCAGGGTGACGCCAAGGATCGAGGGAACGAGTGAACCAGAGTTCGAGAGGGAGGAAGGACCAGGAGGAGGACGAGCAGCGGCAGCAGCAAGTGAACGATGATACGACGCCAAGGCAGATGATAATGCTGATGATGATGCTGATGATGCTGATGGTGGTGATGTTGATGCTGGTGAGGGTGGTGGGATGATGGTGACGATTATGATGATGACGATTATGATGATGATGATGATGATGGTGGTGATGATGATGATGACGATGACGATGATGATGATGATGATGATGATGCTGATGGTGACGATCAGGCAGAAAGCGATGGGGGCGTCCTCCAGGCGAGGAGGCAAGTTATGAGAAGGAGGACGATGATCGGCACAAGGAATGATGAGGAGGGAGGAGGATGAGGAAGAGGACGATGATGATGAGGATGAGGAGGGGGAGGAGACAGATAATGAGGACGTAACCAGAAAAGGTAAATAATTTAACCGATGAGGTGGATGTGGAGGAGCAGGACGGCACGAGGAGGAGGGCGAGGATGACCTCTTAGGAAGTCGCGGATCAAGGAGAAGACGAAGAAGCCGAAGAAGAAGCAGCAGCTGGAGCAGAAAGAGATGGTGGCCATCAAAGACGAGCCGATGCTGCAGCTGCCGGCGATAAAGCGCCCAGCAGCAGCAGCAGCAGCAGCAGCAACAGCAGGCAGCACGCAGATGAAGCGCATGAAGCGCCCAGCAGCAGCACCGAAGGCTTCCTCGTCCTCTTCGCCCTCCTCGTCCCTTTTCTCCTCCTCGATCACTCACTTCCGCACGCCTAGGCAATACTCAATCCCGCATCCATGTGTGCAGCTCCGTCCCTCTGTACTGGTTCCTATGCATGCTCGCACGCGCACCTACACGCATGCACACATACACACATACACACATACATACATACGTACATACGTACATAAATACATACATACATACACACATACACACATACATACATACATACGTACGTACATATATTCATACATACACACATACATACATACATGTCTACATATATACACGTACATGCAAACATACAGGCATACATACATCCATACACACATACATATACACACATACAAACATACATACATGCCTACATACCTACATACCTGCGTATATGTATGCATACATGCATACATACATACGTGCATACACACATACATACATGCATACACACACGCACATACGCACACACATACATATATATATATGTGTATATATATATGTGTTACAACCATATATATATATGTATGCATCCATTTATACATACGTACACGCATACCTACATGTAGACATACAGTCATGCACACATAACACATACATGTATGCATGCTTACGCAACCGACTATGCACATATGTTTACATGCATGCGCAGAGTCATGCATACATACACACATGATGCATGCATACATGCACACGCCCACACACATGCATACATACATGCACACACGCTCAAGTATGTATGCATACATGCACGCATACATACATAGAGTCATGTATACAAACATGCATGCGTACATGAAAACAGCAATTCATACATACATGTATCGATCCATCCACGTATGCAGACATGCCTGCCGATACATCTATATATAGACACATATAGTCACAACCATACGCCGTGCACACCTACAGGCATGCATCTATGCCATGTGTATGTGTGCAGACTGCATGCAGACGTGCATGCAGGCATACACATCCATGCATGCATACATGTGTATAGATCTGCCATGCACGCATGTACATATCATCGGTTTCCGCATGTAGACAGAGCTGGTGCAGCCAGTCGACGCGGAGGGCGCCGAGGTCCACGAGATCGAGGAGGGCGCCGTCCAGGAGATCGAGGAGGGCGCCGAGGTCCAGGAGATCGATGAGGGCGCCGAGGTCCAGGAGATCGAGGAGCAGGGCGCCGAGGTCCAGGAGATCGATGAGCAGGGCGCCGAGGTCCAGGAGAGCGGGGGCGAGGTCCAGGAGATCGATGAGCAGGGCGCCGAGGTCGACCAGGAGATCGAGGAGCAGGGCGCCGAGGTCGACCAGGAGATCGAGGAGCAGGGCGCCGAGGTCCAGGAGATCGATGGGCAGGGCGCCGAGGTCGACCAGGGGATCGAGGAGCAGAGCGCCGAGCTGCCAGACGGTACCAGGGCTCGAAGGAGCGCGGAATGGGGGGGGGCGGTCGAGGACCACTTCGTTTTGAAAAGTCGGTCTTGCATGCCGTGACTCAAGATCCTCCTCCCCCCATCCTCCTCCTCCTCCTCCTCCTCCTCCCCCTCCTCCTCCCCCTCCTCCTCCTCCTCCCCTCCTCCTTCTCCTCCTCCTTCTCCTCCTCCTTATCATCAGCGTCCTCAGCTTCATCAGCATCACCATCACCGTTAGCATCATCGTCATCAACATCATCACCATCACCATCATCACCATCCTTTCCTTACTCACCACAAGTCAAAGAGGCTCCCAAGGCCCGCGGGGGGGGGCAGGAGGGACAGGGAGGAACGGTCAGCCAGCGCAGGCATGGTGACGATCCAGGTCGGCGGCGAGTTCTATAACATCAAGATGAAGAGGACCCCCCTGCTCCTTCTCCTCTTCCCCCTCCTCCTCCTCCTCCTCCTCCTCGTCGCCACCTCCTCCTCCTCCTCCTCCTCGTCCTGAACTCCTCCTCCTCTTCCTCCTCTTCCTCCTCCTCCTCCTCCCCTTCCCCCTCCTCATTGTCGTTCTCCTCATTGTACTTCCCCACCCTCGAGGTCCACGCACTTGTCCTCGATGACAGGGGTAGTGGATCTCCAGGGTGGTGATAAGGCAGTGGAGATCTGCCCTACCTTCACTACCATGCCCGCGCTTCTGCGGGCTTGGGGATGAAGGGATGCAGAATTCGAAGAGGAGGGGTGCTGAGAAGATCAGCACTATCGTGTTCAGGGCGACAGCCGCGACGAATGGCTGGCCGCAATTCATCCAGTGCGCCGACAAGACGTGGGGCGAGAGCGACAATGCCAAGGAGCTGAGCGAGACGTGCATGAAGGACGCCAGGGGAAGGAGGACGAGGAGGGGAGCTGATCGAGCGGCTGCAGGATGGTGGGGAGGGGGGAGGAAGGAAGAGGGAGGATGGCGATCAAGAGGTCGACGCAGAGGCGAGCTCGAGGGGGATGACTATTTCAGACCGTCCTCCCTTTTCTGGGCTCGTGGCTACACGGGCCCCTGTTTCCCCCCATTCCTGCGGCCGTTCAGTCCTCCCATGACCCACCGTCCTCATCCCTCGTGTAGTTCCAACTCCCACCTCCCATCGTCAATGCCATCCTCCCCCTCCGCCTCCTCCCCGCATGGCCCCGAAGTACGTCATGCAGATGATCATCGAGAAGCCGACCGTCACCAAGGCTGTCGTGAGCTCGTACAGGAACAGTGTTGTGAACGAGCTGCGCTCCTCCAGTGGATCCTAGGTGGGATCCTGGGCCTAAGGGGACGAAGGAGGAGACGTATAAGGAGGAGAGAGGAGGAGGAAGAGAAGCATAAGGAGGAGAGAGGAGGAAGATAAATATAAGGAGGAAAGAGGAATGCCAGCAGGAGGAGAGAGGAGGAAGACAAGCATAAGATAGCGCGGGATGGGGCTGGGAAGGGCGAGCTCGGAGGAGGGTTGAGGGGAAGAAGCACATGAGGATGATCGGGAGCACTGAACTTCAAAATCTACACGTTCGAAGCATCTCCCTGTGGTGCCAGGGTCACTTGGGCAAATCTGTGCCCACGCGACCCTGACATCACAAAGCAGCGAATGGTCTACATCGATCAGCATCCTTCTGCTCTCATCTGCTGCTGGTGCCCCAGCCTTCCTTACGCCTGCAACCCTTATCTTCCTGAGGCCCCAGCTGGCGGAGTTTCGGTGCACATCTGCCATGTGTATCATTATGATTCCTTCCCAGAGGTGACGACATATCGAGAAGATGACCTGCTACGCGTGGGCCGTGGCATGGCCCAGGCCAGCATCGGGCCATACTTATCCCCTCGATCCCCAGTCCTTTGATGTATATATATATGTGCATACATACACGATTCGTTTCCTCACTCCTCTTCGAGCGCCTTCTCCACGACGTGCGCCTCCCACTCCTCGTGTTTACCTCCTCGCTCGTCCCTCCCCTCCGCCCTCCATCGATATAAACTCCTACGCCTTTCTGCAAGAGTTCTCCTCCTCCTGCTAGATCCATCCCTGCTTCCTACTCTCACACATTCATCCTCTACACCTCTTCCTTCCCATACCCTCACTTCTACCTCAATCGTGCCCTGACCAGGCGACGTATACTACTGGTGGTGCACTGGTGGAGCTGAGCGTCCCCGCGGCTCCGTATAGCCCCCTTCATTTTTGGAGGGTGAGAGGAGCTAGGAGAGAGAGAGAGAGAGAGAGAGAGAGAGAGAGAGAGAGAGAGAGAGAGAGAGAGAGAGAGAGAGAGAGAGAGAGCGAGAGTCTCAAGAGACCGCATGCGCATTATGTTGCACGCGCGCTGACGGACCAGCTCGAGCGCTGGCAAGGTCAAGCGCAGGCCGCGAGGCACAATAGTTTCCCGCCCTCCCCTCGAGCCCAGGAGATTCCAGCTCGAGAACGCTCGTTCGATAGAACGATGTCCAACGCCCCCTCCCCCATGCCACAACCCTCCTACCAGCCTCCCTCCCTCGAACTTCCCTTCCCCCTCGCGTCGACGCTGCCCCCCTCACTGTCCCTCGAGTTGCGCTCTCCCGAGAGGCCCCTCTGCAGGATGATTTCAGAATGCATGTGCCATGGGCGCCAAACGGTTCGTGCAAACGGGCACCCGCCTAGGACCCCCAAGGATGGTTCAGGAGTCGAGTCTCTGAGGATGCTTCAATCCTGCCTCGCATACGCAGCGAGATCCTCGAGTGATGTATGTTTGTCTGTATGTCTGTATGTTTGGGTGTCTGTATGTATGTATGTATGCATGTATGTATGTATGTGTGTGTGTATGTAATTGTGTTCAGGATGATTCAGGGGTCGATCGAACGGACAAGGAGGTGGTGCATAGGACCACTCGGACGATTGTGGCCTGAACGTTGCGATCGGTGCATGGTCTTGCCTTGCGCGCAGTTCTGGGATCGAACGCGGTGGGATTCCAGCCGCGCTCGAGCCGGGGAGCACTCCGACTGGTGACGTGGGGCTGGGGATTTGCTTGTTTGCGTCGTCATGTGTGCGCTGCGTTCGGAAGTGGACTGATGTGGCAGCGCATGATGAGCAGGTTGCGCAAGCCATACAAGCCACCACTACTGTACAAGCACCAACCACCCGACACCACCCACCCAACTCGTCCACCGAACCGTCGACCCAGCCCAACCACCACTACTACCACTACCACAACCCGAGTACAGAACAACCACCACTGCCGAACAACCGAACTCACATAATCCACGAGCTCACACCCCACACCCACCTCGAACGCACATGAAACTGATGCATGCGATGTCCAACATGTGATCGACAACCCCACAACCCAACCAATGTATTGCATAAACGAACTAACAACCCAGCACACGACCCCTGGCAACAAACCCAACGATCTGAAATGATTGCATGTACAGCGCGCGCCCGTGTTCTTTAATACGTTTCTACTGCGTACTGACGCTAGAGCATGTGGCTTCAGTGCGTTGCTGCCCGAGGGCGAAGAGAATAACATCAGATCTGAACACAAACGCACACACACACACACCACCACCACCACCACGCCACCACCACCACCACTACCACCACCACCACCACCACCACCACCACCACCACCATGATGCACGGACGCGTGCCCGCACGCGCGCGCTCCCCCCCCCTCCCCCCCGCCGCCAGGTGCACATGATTGTGCTGGGCTCCGGAGAGGACCGCTGCATACATGCATCGATCGACCTGCGGATTTCCAGCCGCGCTGATCGACCACTGCGTTCGGAAGTGGACACTTTGGGGTGTGAGGTGTTGCGTTATGGTTGGGGCACGGGGATTATAGTCGGGCTCAAGCGCTCGCGCGGCTCGATCGCTGAGGATTTCCCAGCCGCGCTCGATTACGCTGCGTTTGGAAGCGGTCTGGAGGTTCGGTGGCGGCGGGGTGATCATCGGGCGGGCGTATACGGGGCGATCGGCGGGGGCGCGTTGGTCGTGGGGAGGGGCGTCGGGGGTTCGGTGGCGGCGGATTAGCGGGCGTTCGGCAAAGGTGCGTTGGCGGGGGTGCGTCGACAGTTGGGAGACGCGGGTGCGTTGCGGGTTTCGGGCGGGCGGTGGTGGTTTCATTTTTTTTTTTTTTTTTTTTTTTTTTTTTTTTTTTTTTTTTTTTTTTTTTTTTTTTTTTTTTTTTTTTTTTTTTTTTTTTTTTTTTTTTTTCCCCCCAATGTTTTTTTCATGTTTTTTTTCATGTTTTTTCATTGTCATGTTTTTTTTCATGTGTTCTCATGTTTGTTCATGTTGTTTCATGTTTTTTCATGTTTTTTTCAGCGTCATGTTTTTTCATGTTGTTTCATGTTTTTTCATGATTTCATGTTTTTTTTTTCATGTTTCTTTCATGTTTGTGCATGTTTTTTTTTCCCGCGTCTCATGTTTTTTTTTCATGTTTCTTTCATTTTTTTTTATGTTTTTTCATGTTCATGTTTTTCATGTTTTTTTCATGTTTCTTCATGTTTTCATATTTTTTCATGTTTCTTTTCATGTTTCTTTCATGTTTTTCATGTTTTTTTCCAGCGTCATGTTTTTTTCATGTGTTTTCATGTTTTTTTTTCATGTGTTTCATTTTTTTCAATGTTTCTTTCATGTTTTTTCATGGTTTTTCATGTTCACGTTTTTCATGTTTTCATGTTTTTCATGTTTTCATGTGTTTCAATGTTTTTTTTCACGTTTTTTTCCAGCGTCATGTTTTTCATGTGTTTCCATGTTTTTTTTATGTATTCCATGTTTTTTTTTCATATTTTTTCATGGTTTTTCATATTCATGTTTTTTCATGTTTTTTCATTGGTTTTCATGTGTTTCATGTTTTTTCATGTTTGCTTCATGTTTTTTTTTTTTTTTTTTTCATTTTTTCATGTGTTTTTCATGTTCGTGGTTTTTCATGTTTTCCTGTTTTTTCATGTTTTCATGTGTTTCCATGTTTCTTTCATGTTTTTTCATGTTTTTTTTCATTTCCTGTGTTTTCATGTGTTTTCATGTGTTTTCATGTTTCTTCAATCGCGCGCGCGCATGTGTCCCATCACCTCCCCGCCCCCGCGCGGCCGCCCTGGCCACCCCCCAGATCGTCCAAGGGCCCCGCGCACACCGCCCCCAGCCCCCACGATTGCACCCATCAAACCCAACTGCAGCAGCCTCGCAACCTACGCGACACACCAACCACCACCACCGCCAACACCTACAATCACCATCACCACGTCGCCACCACCACCACCACCACAACCACCGCCCACCCACCGCCACCACCGCCACCACGACCCACCACCACCACGCGCACGTACGGTGGTACCTTATATGTATGCACTGCCGCTTCGAACCAGCGCGGCCCGCGCATTTGGGCAACAGGTGAGGCGCCGCGCTGGCGCCATGCCCCCGAAGCGCAAGAATGCTGACCAGAAGGCCTCCTGTCCAGAACTGCCCCGCTCGAGTCCGGAGGGGTCCTCGATCGCCGCGCGTCGACTTCGGCGCGCGTGCAACTCGGGTTGCGCTCGCACCGAAGTCGACGCCCGATCGGGCGACGAAATCTATACATATACTGGTACCCTGGTCAGGCCCATTCTGGACCCAGGATATATGCATATCTATGCGCAGCTGCATATATATGCGTGTGTATATATACACATATACATGGCACGCCATGTCCAGGGAACAGTGGATAAGTATAGATTTCGCCCCCCTGAGCTCGGGAGCTAGAGGACCCAGGAGGCGATGAGGATGCTTGCGCCGCGCCCTATCGGAGGCGAAGGCGGCGGCTGCAGCGGCGCCGAACAAGGGGAAGCTGAAGCGGGCCAGGGAGGCGAACACAGAGCACGAAAACGCGCTGCAGCGTTTACGGCGCCCTGTGCTTTAATGACTTATGAGCAGGTGGGAATGAGGAATAGGTGGGAACACGTGGGAAGGAAAGGAGCAGGTGGGAATGGAGGGAACATGTGGCGGGAAGGAGGAATGTTGCACTTGTTCTGAGCAGGTGGGAAGGAGGGACGAGGTAACGGAGCGAATGAGGAGGCGAGGAAAGGATGACAAACCAGGTTGAAAAAAAGGAGAGGATGAATTGATGAATGATGAGGACATGAGGATCGAAGGAGGAGTGATGGACATTCGAGGCACGAGGACCGAGGAGAAGAATGGAGGGATGAGGATGGGGAAAGAAATGAGAGAATGAGGATCGAAGAGAAGAATGGGGGGATGAGGATCGAAGGAGGGATGAGGAACGAGGGGGGGAAGGAGGATATCATCACCCCAGGTGCC